TCATTTATTATTCTTTTATCACTTTCATAAAGAATTTCAGCGTGTACTCCGAGGTTTTATTGGGAGTGTTCTTGCCCCTTGTAAATGGTTAAAGGATGCTGCTGCAACTTTTGTGCTGGTTGTTCAATGCTGTCCATGTATGATCCCTTTTCATATGTTGCTTTGGTGTTCACCAAACGTTGTACATGATGTATCTGTTTCTTTTGTCTGTTGTGAAAAATGTTAAAAATCTTTAAAAAAAAAATATTAAAAATTACAAAGTAGTATAAATAGTATAAAAAAAGTTATGGATAGATCTACCTCCATGTTATATAATTGCTTGCAGTTATGTTAGCAAAGTTCTCATTCTACTTCTGCATCCTACTTTTCATATTCCAGTGTACACAAGCTAGATGCAGTGGGCTTAGAGAGGATGGTGGTTGAGACCAAGAAACACACGGCTTAGATTCAGCATGTTTAGAATATGACAGTGACTACAGATGTTTACCTATCACTGCATTCTAATGCAGAAGATGTATATCAAGATGTATAATATAGCAACTCATTAGGTAGGTGTCCCCTAAAGCTTACCACGCATGTTAAAATTTGATTGTGCAATCTTTTATAGATCAACCAACAAGTATTTTGTGCAATGGCCAGCCTACATACACTCACTGGCCACTTTATTAGGTACACCTTGCTAGTACCGGGTTGGACCCCCATTTGCCTTCAGAACTGCCTTGATTCTTCGTGGCATGAATTCAACAAGGTGATGGAAACATTCCTCAGAGATTTTGGTCCATATTGACATGATAGCATCAAGGGCCCAAAGTGTGCCAAGAAAATATCCCCCTCACCATCACCAGCTTGAACCGTTAATGCAAGGCTGGATGGATCCATGCTTTAATGTTGTTTACGCCACATTCTGACCCTATCATCTGAATGTCTCGGGTGAAATCGAGACTCATCAGACCAGGCAACATTTTTCCAATCTTCTATTGTCCAATTGTGGGGAGCCTGTGCGAATTGTATCCTCCGTTTCCTGTTCTTAGCTGACAGGAGTGGCACCCAGTGTGATCTTCTGCTGCTGTAGCCCATCTGCTTCAAGGTTCGAAGTGTTCTGCATTCAGAGATGGTATTCTGCATACCTGGGCTGTAACAAGTGGTTATTTTAATTACTTTTGCCTTTCTCATCATCTCAAACCAGTCTGCTCATTCTCCTCTGACATCAACAAGGCATTTTCATCCACACAACTGCCGCTCACTGGATATTTTCTCTTTTTCTGACCATTCTCTGTAAACCCGAGAGATGGATGTGTATGAAAATCCCAGTAGATCAGCAGTTTTTGAAATACTCAGACCAGCCCGTCTTCCACCAATAACCATGCCATGTTCAAAGTCAAGTAAACCCCCATTCTGATGCTCGGTTTGATCTTCAGCAAGTCGTCTTCACCATGTCTAGATGCCTAAATGCATTAAGTTGCTGCCATGTGATTGGCTGATTAGCAATTTGTGTTACCAAGCAATTGAACAGGTGTACCTAATAAAGTGGCCGGTGAGTGTAAATACCAATTGATTGAATATTTTAGGTAGGTCCATATATTTGATAGTTTTGGTAGATCTAAAGTTGATTGTATGATCAGGTTGTAAAGTGTATAGTGTGCCTACATAATTTTCAGTGCACAAAGTGCATTTAAAGAACATATTTCCTTGGAACAGAAATGTCACTGATGACTGCATTACTATAACAAAAGCAGTAGCTTCTGGCACTTGCATGCAAATCTAGTGACAATGAGTGTGGCACCATGATATTCCATTATCAATTTCTGGTGACATCATGGGTTCCATTCAGCTGGCCTACAAGCGGATGTTTATAGTTTGCCACAAAACTACTGTTTTGGTTTGCGTTAGGCTTTAATTACAGGACCTCTGTGTTTGTGCCTAGAGGTCCCGTTCAGAAGCTTATACTTCGCATTTGCAGAGCTTTCAGCAAGCTTTGTTGAAGCTTTTAAAGCACCCCTCAGCTCCAATTTAGGAATGTTAAACAAAGATTTTGATGGGAGTGCTGACCAGCTATTGGCAGGCTTCAACGCTGCTTAACGCGTGTTAAAGCCTTCAGAAACCTTGACATGACTGATAACATTCCCAAACTGGAACTGAAAGATTCTTTAAAGGCTTCAACAAAGCTGCTTGAAGCTTTGCAGATAGCTTTGGAAAAGCTTGCTGTACACACTGCTCTTATACAAGCTGAGGTCGGTGTGTACAAGGCCTTTCTGTGTCTTGACAGTGCTAACATCCTCTAGAACACTCTTTCCAAGTACTCATAATACCAATCTAAACAAGACTTAAACAAATCATAATAATCAGACCGTGCTTGCCTTCCATCACAAACAGAGGCCTCCTTTGGAAACCCTCTAAATAGATTTGTTAGTTTAAAGTGTATGGTTTATAAATGTGACATGTCTTTACCCATCCGTGAATTTATCATGCACAATTCACAGACATGGCGCCACAACCTAGTAAACTGGAGGCTGATTTTTTTTACTTTTGTGCCTACAGACTAGTCTGCTTTGTAGCAGTTAAATACGTGTCTTCCTGGTCTCTTTTGTGCGGACTGTGTTTAAAATCTCATGTCACTAGCCAACGGCAGTGAGAAATACTATTTATACATTACTTCCAATGTCTGCCTTCTCGTTAGCTTACCCTTTAACTCTTTTGTCATCTAAAGGCAGTGCATAGTGGGGCGGTGCACATGGTATACGTACACCAGAACCCTGTTTGTGCTTCATTTTATAAGCCCTGCCAGGTGCCTGGACTCTTGCAGGGGAAGTAATTATCTTTTGGGCAGCAGGGTTCTTCTGTGGATCATTTTCTGTCGGTAGGAGCGATGGGGGAAATTTATGAGCCAAATTATCTTTTCAATAAAGCACTGCAGACACCGCCTGAGAGTCTGTGACAGGCAGAATGGAAAGGTGTGCTACTGCTTTCCCTCTCTCTGGGTGGCTTGCCGTTATTCTGTCATTAACCCTTCCTTACATAGAGCTTTATAATAGCAATTGTGTAGTGTTGTGTGCGTGGATTTTAACAGTCAAAGTTAATATACAAATTTAAATATACATAAATAACATTTGTTATGCTGGCCACAGGCTTTTGGAATTTTTTTGGGAGTCTTCAATGAATACAATTAATATTGCAGGATTCTAGCAACTAAAATAATAGCTGACAACAGATCATCTTTCTGTGTGTGATGGGTTTTCAAAAGATTTTATTTGTACACTTGACTGTTTGGTACACTGGGTGGTCTTTTTTTTTTATCTTGTCTTTGTCTTAAAGATATAGGCTACTGTGCAGAGCACAAATAATCAGAAATGGTAATCAGTCTATAAGAGCTAGGTAAAATGATCACAAAATGTGTTCCTGATTTGTTTACTTATGGCCATTTTAATATGTCTCTACTTTTCTCATATCAGATTTGAATGTACAACTCTCAGAAATGAATGAATTGTACACAAGGTTATCCAATATATGACTTTGGCTAACGTTGTACATTTGCAAGGTTTATATTACTTGGTGAAAGATCCCAGTGATAAGAAAAGTTGCAAATCCCTGCCTGAATTGCGTTATTAATGTTCAGGTATCAGTTTGGATACCTGCCTGATTACATCATATCAATGCAGGATAACTGCTCAAATGACACTATGCTTAGATGCTGTAAGCTTAGTATAATGTATTTGCCATTCTGAAAACGCGAGAGTAGTTCTATTGCTCACCAAGTAAGCAACGCTTTCTTTTGAAAAATATTTTAGGGCCCATTCACACCACATCCAGATCATCCCCAGACCAGATTGTTTCCGGATCCAAAATGCATCCTAATGTATCCCTATGCTATTTCTGGCCTCTGTTCACACCAACGCAGTCCGTTCCAGACCAGTCTCGTTTTGTCTGTTCTGGAATGCACTGGAACTGTGAGCTTAAAGCTGACCTTTTGGCAGAAAGACAACAGCTAATATTGGGAAGGGGGCATCTTAGAAACTGTTGACTGTCTTTCTGGTTCATTGACCCTAAATGCCTCTGGAGCACCCTGCAAGTGGCCTGGTAGTCTGGGATACACCCCCTTGTTCTCCTAAATTATGGTAAGGATGCTGGGGGAAGTAGTTTGGGATTGGTGAGCGTCACAGTGAAGTGACGTACAGCCGCCATCCAGGAAGGGCGCTTCATGGATAATAGTTGGCAGTGAGTTTTATATTGTGGGTGCTCAAAAGATTTTAAGGCAACTCCTGCTTTGTTCCTTGCCTCCCCCTCTCTTCCTGTCTGCTTGGAGTTCTACTTTAGCTTATGGAGCCAGTGTTGGTCCTGTGAGGCTAATGCAAGAGCAGAATTGGTAATAACGTATTTTCTAAGACCAATATTTGTAATGATAGTGTTTTTTTTAAATTTACATTGTATTTAGATCTGTTAACTATCAATTAAGACAGACATATATTAGGGCTGCACAGATACCAGTTCAGATACCAGTACCTGGCATTTTCACGAGAACTACCCGAGTCACAGCGGATGCAGCTGCGACTGGGCCCTGTTGCTCCACCACTGTCCTGAAATTATTAGTCTGTATTGTTTTAGAAAAACTGTAATGACAATAAACAAAAATTTATTAGTACTTGGGCAAGTATCAGTACTTGGTCTGGAAAGAATTTTTGTATCCTTATATTTTGATTTCCTTAAAAATCCTGTATTTTTGTATGTATTTTGTATGTATACATTGGTGTATCCCTAATATAATAATAAAACAAATGATACATTAAAACAGAGATGCACAAGTCCCAGGAGCCCTGTATGCTCCTTTAAAAATGACAGCTCCTAGAGTTTTTCTCTAGTCTAGTGGCTGGAAAAGTATCTGTACTTGTACCAAGTACGCTACTTGGTATCTGTGCATCCCTAACATATATAGTAATATATTCCCTCCTGAGTTTTTGTCATAGTACTGGTGTGGTCACTAAGCATTTCTCTTTCTTCACTTGCAGACTTGGGGATCAGTTCTATAAAGAAGCAATTGAGCACTGTCGCAACTACAACTCCAGACTATGTGCCGAACGCAGTGTCCGCCTTCCGTTCCTCGACTCACAGACTGGTGTGGCTCAAAACAATTGCTACATCTGGATGGAGAAAAGGCACAGAGGGCCAGGTAGAGTACTGGTCAGTGAATTCAAGCAACCTCAAACTCTCCGAATATTGTAAATGTCCGGCAATCTAAATGTACTCTCTGTATATAGTTTTGTTGCATTTCCTATGTAACAAAGTAACTTCAGCCACTGCTATGACAGAGATCTGCATCTGCTCAGTTTTGGTAATATGCTATAACTAGCTGCTCTTTGACTCTTATACACAAACTTAGGGTGGCTGACTTAGCCAACAGATCCTCATCATCGTAATCCAGATATATTTATTTTGTAAACTGGAGGTCCCTTAGATGGAAGCCATTTGCACATGAAGTGTGAAAATATTCCTATATGGAATGCTCTCAGGGCATTTCCTTTCCTTTTGGTCTTCTTTCACATTTTCCATTGGTTAGTATGTTTTACTCTCTGTCTCAAGCCTAGTAATGAAATGGAGTTAATACTTAACAATTTACATCTAGTGTAGTTTATTTCCCCCCCATTGTTAACTACAGAGGACAGAGTCAGTTGGATCACAGATGATTTTTTTTTCTTCTTTGTAAACAGCCCTCAAATGCATTATTTTTATTGGTGGATCAAATCATTAATTAAAAAAGCCTATGTTGCTCATTGAGTACTTTCTGCCTAAGCTGAGCAGGCAGCCACCTGGTTGTCTTCACACACGCATTACTTGATTCAATAGGGTCAGTACTTCAGGTGCAGCCTTTGACAGGAAAGCCTTGCAAGCTGCTGTTTCTCAGTAGTATTCTGCCACCTGTATTCTTTACACGGGGACCAAAGTAAAAAAAAAAAAAGTTTGAGCGCTCAGTGAGTATACCTCAAAATATAATATTTGATCACAATTTCAACCAGAAATAAAAACAGTGCCGACACCATGTAAACCGGTATTAAATCTGCATATACTGATGCCAATGATATACTGTAAAAAAAAAAAATAGTATACTGTGGTCCCCAGGAAAAAATTTAGCAATCATATAGGATGTGGCAATCTTAGGATTGTATTATTGGTGTTGAGTTTTTACTTCTTCAGTCTTCTACAGATACAGTATTCTGTTCGGAAGTCTCCACTCAGATTGTTGCAATGATAGACTGGAGTGAAAGGTGCAAGATGATATACAAATGTATCAAGTTGACAAAGTGGAGACTTTGGAACATAGCATCTGTGGCAGGGCTACGAGTAAACACTCAACTTATGGGGTACATTGTTAATTGCCATGTCCATTATGATTGCTGCATTGTTTTTCTCAGGAACCACAGTATACTGCTTACAGAGTATGTCTATTAGACATCTAAATTTCATTTAGTTCTAAATGGATATTCGTATGAATTTAGTTAAATTTGAATGCCTCTGAAATTGAACGCGTTCGAATCCGAATGCACGCTTAATGAAAATTCGGATCTGTCCGAACTTCGTTCAAAACTAAACTAATTCTGACATGTGACTGTTCTCTGGCCAATCAGATTTTTTTTGGCTGTTGGGGTTTGCATTACATAGTATAGATTAAAGAACCCCATCAGAATAGATCCGAAACGAAAATTCTGGTGGATCCGAAAAATGAAGGAAATAAAAATCTGAATCCATCCGAAACTAAATAAATTTTGTGTGTGGTTGCATGTCTAATGTGTTTGGGATCAGTATATGTACATTAAACAGGGTTTATGGGAATTGCTTACAAGGTACTGTCACAAGTTTTATTTTTCATTTTAATTGTTGTTATTATATAGTTCTTCTCAAACTCTTCTTTTAAAGGATTTTTTTTTCTGGCTGCTTTAAGTACAAGATTTTACTACCTTCAGTCATCATCAGCTCCAGAGCAGTCTCTCTGCATCCTCCATGTACTGAAAAGAACACAGAATTTTGTACTTGTCATACGGTCTTGTTTTTTTTTTTTGCTACATAGGGCAATGCTGGACTTATCTCCTTAATGGTCCATAAATAGCCTCTCCATTTGTAATTGCGGTGTCCTAAGCAAGACAAAGTAAAAACTGATGGTAATAGAGGAGGAGGTCTTTCAGTTTCCTAGCCTTCTGGCTCATATTGGAGGATGTTGTACCTTAATGTTTCCCTGTATGATTAATAAAAGAGATTTTGTAGTAAGTTAAATACTAGGGATGCACCCATACCGGTTTTTCGGTATCGAATACGAGTACCGATATATTTCAGACGAGTGTGTATGACTCGCCATCTGGCTTCCTGATTAGCCGGGAAGCCAGGCAGCATGTAAAGACTCGCTACCCGGCTTCCCGATTAGCAGGGAAGCCGTCTCCATGCTTCCTCGTCACCAGCTTCTCGACCAATCAGGAAGCCAGGCAGTGAGTCATTACACATAAAATACTGGGATTTCCAATGAAAAATATGTTTTGTTTAACTGCCGTGCTGTATCTTTTTTTTTCGGAATTGTGAAAATCGGGATAATTTATGCCTAGATCTTTAATAAATATATCACCATATTTGTGATAATCCTCATTTTATGTGGGAGAACGTCTTTCTGACTACTAGAGGGAAGAAATTATAAAAGATAAGTTAATTTGCCTTTATTGGCTGCACACTGGGTCTTCTCTGTGATTATCTTTCTAAAGCTGCCCATACACCTGACGATTATCGTACGTTAATCGCGGGTGATCCTGCGATCGCACGATAATCGTAAGGTTGATGGGGCATTTAATGTACGGTCGCATGAGTTTCATATAACGACCACGGTGGAAAACCCGCCAAAAATCATACGATTTTCGGCGGGTTGGTAGCGCGATCGCAAGACGAAAGCCGCACGACCCGAGGTGCGCAAGCGCACACAGCCCGCTCACCATTGCAATCCTCTGCAAGCCCTCCCCTCAGCGGGATGGACTTACGATGATCACAAGTACGATCTGCCTGTCCATGATGGGCAGGTCGTACAAAATTTGAATCATCTTACAACCATCGCACAATGAAAGTCGTGTGATGGTTGTAAGGTGTATGGCCACCTTTAGTGTTTGTCTTTGTAGATTCCTTCTATTTTTTGGGTGATTAATCCACCTCTGTGCACTCCACCCTTAACTGGAAAGCTGCTCACCTTTTAAGATGAACTTTATTTAATTAAAAGGTCAAAGCATGCTCTGTCTTTAAAACTGCTTGACAGCATCTGCGGATATGCTTTCCTCCTTCTACCGGTACATCTCCATGATACAGTAGCTCAAAGAAATATATATTACCATAGTGCAACCCATAAAACAAGCTTTATTATAAAAACAGAATAACAACGCTTACTCTGTGCAGTGCACCACCACATGTACGCAATGACAAAGTTTAAAATCTCGTAAAGCCATCTGTCCATCCCCTCCGCACTTCTAACCGGCCTCTTCTATTGGCACCTGCGTAATAATGGCACCAGAAGCTCCACCTTATGCGTTACATCTTTATTTTGGATATGCATTGGTGAGGGGTTAAAACCCTTTTCAGGTTTTTATTGTGGTCTGTGTCTCTCTGCCAGGGACAGTCACTATCCTTGTTTGTCCTGGTGACCATTGATAGTGAGGAAAATCCAAAATGTTCACTTGTTCTCACTTTAGAGAGATTTCTTATTGCTTTCTTTGGGGTCAATAGGACAGGAAGTGAAGGAAGATGTCATGTGTCATGGGACACAGATTGCAAAAAAAATAAAAATCTAAGGGGTTTTATGTAAACCACTTTTCAACAAGGATTTTATTTTCATAAAATGGGGCATAAAGCCAAATATCTATTTATAAACATTGTTGGACATGTTTTTTTTTTTAGCATTGAACCCTATGTAGACACTTTTCTGTTTACATAAGTAATTTCATGCAGCTCAATGATTATGTTTGTAACACAGTCATGAAGTTTGTTTAAATATCAGAAAATTGCAGTTTGGTGGTGATTTCTTACATGCACATTCTTTAGTATATATGTGCTGTAGTATCCGTATCTAAAAATATGTATATATGTATTCCAAAATTCTTAAAACAAAGTTTCATTTGTTCAGTATATTTTTTTTCTATTTGTGCAGGTGTGGCTCCAGGACAACTATATACATACCCTGCGAGGTGTTGGAGAAAGAAGAGACGCTTACATCCTCCTGAAGATCCCCGGTTACGACTTTTGGAGATAAAATCAGGTTGGTTGCCGTCGTAGTAATCATTTGGATCAGTGTTGTAGAGTTCAACTGTTTTGTGTTCATCTCTATATCTGGATGACAGTGTGGTAAACCAAGGCCAGTTTTGTTTGCATACATAATATTATACAATCTATCTCAAATATTTTTCATATGCCTTTTCCCCAGACCTATCGATAGTAATGTTCTACTTTTCTACCTTCATCTTTGGTGGGGGTTGACAGTGTGATGACTGTTCAATGGATCCTAACACTGTTCTACTTTTTCTAAGCAAAAAAAACAGCAATTTTTTAAAATGTGATATTGTAATGACAGTAATATAAAATCATTGACAAAATTCAGACTGATGTTACACTACAGTTTATTATTAAAATGTATTACCTTAAAAGTACTGTCTACAGCATGATTTTTACATTTTAGTACTTTGTATCACTAGTTTTATGCTTTATAAGTGATAACAATTTCACTATGATTTAGCCTCTCTGGAATAAAAAAAATATTGGCACCTGCATTAGGTCAGCAACAGTTTGATGTTTTATACTCAAAAGCACTGCGCTCTAAATAATTTCCAACACTCACAATTTGTGTTTGTCCTAATAAATAAAGCAGTCACTTTTATACAATTATATGAAAGTGACCTAATAACTTATTAATTCATATAGTGCAAAAACATTAGATCAGCTGATAAAATGTTATGAAAGGTGCATAAACAATCTGCTTCAGGTAAAAAGTTCCACTGTGCAGGAGATATCTGTCAGCACAAATCAGTTCTGTGCACCACCTCTACTTGTGCTCCCATCCGCAGGCTCACTCACTGCAAATGTATGACACACTAAGAAAGTAAGGCCAAACAATGCTTGATGTAAAATCAGCACCACTGGTGGAAAACATCTAGGGCAATCACAGATCATCTATGAACATACTTAAAAACTTGTATTTGGACTACAAGAATTGTATGCCAAACATATTAGTATAGTGTGCATTAGCCACATACAGACCAGTTGTATTACCTTTGCCAAACGGCAGTCAACTCCAAGTAGCTTTTTCATGAAAGTTATACATATTTTGACTTCTCCATACCAATTAACCTATATCTATCTAAATCTATATAGAGATAGGGAGAGAGAGAGCGAGAGATCTGTTTTCTTTGTACAGATAGTTTTATTTTTTATCAAAATGTTAGTTGGTACTTTGTCTTGGTTGCATACAACTTTTACTGGGAACAGTGTATGTCCAGATATTACTCAAATTTACTCCCAGATCATGTCCCGGTCAAAGTTTTTTTTCTTATGTTTTTATAAAGCGAGAAAGGGATTTTATTACTGCCTGTAATGTTATCACCAATATAATTCTTGCATGAGCAGCTACTAGGAGCTCAGTTCTTATTGATGTAGGCATGCCTCCAAGAACTACAACTCCCGCGAGCCCTTTCCCTACACACAGTTTGTGGACAGGTTCTCGGAAGCATCAAAGTGTGCATGTGGAGTGGGACAGAGATGGGCGGGGTCATAGATGGAGTTCTGTAGTTTAGCAGGCAGGGTGAAAAAGATGGGGGGCAATGTTCATATATTGGAAAGGTGTTCTGAGTTTTAGCTCTTTTTTTGCCATGTGATATACGCTATGGAAGTGTAAAAAAAAAAAAAAAGATCTCTGCAATACATGCACATTTTCCTGTTTTATTTATTTAACCGGCGGGCCAATGTAAGCAGACTTCCAGTCTGAGGGCAGCACCCTGCGAGTCACGTCAAAGTGATCAGGTAGCTCTGCAGGTTTTGACCCATTAAGGACTTAACAGTTTAAAGATAGGGCAGTGATCCTGGATGTGGCATACACCTCATCAGAGCTAACTTAACTTTTTTACATAGTAGAAAGGACCAAAAGCCATTTGCCTTGAGTTCGGCTTTAATGAATCACTGGTTACACAGGTCACTGTTTTCTTTATTACCCTTGGTAATGTCCCAAATGGGTCATAATACTAGGAAACTCACTAAAAAGATAAAAACGTAGACTGTAAATAGATGATCAGAACAATCTGCAATCCGTATTTTATTTATGGCCTCCTTAATATTGCTGGCTGTACTTAATGGGTTTAATGAGCAGAGTTTGGTTCCATCTGTGCGATCAGCTGAAATGAAAAAAGTGCCAGAGCTAGATCCATTTTAATTTGCTAGTTGCATGGGTACAGGATCCTCAGTCATTGCTTTCATTCTCTGAACATTTTTGTAAATGGCACTTGATCGTCTGTTCTGTTCTCTGGAGAGAGCTGAAAATGAGTGATGTGACTTAGTTTGATGAGCTTAAATAGGTGTATACCCAAATCAGTGATTAATGAGAGATTAATGATCCATTTTCTGCAAGAAAAGTGAGAAATTCGAGTAAATGATTTCTTGTCAAAGCACTCTAAGCCATTCTTATTATGATAAAAACAAAGGACCCATGTTTTCATACCACAAAAAGCCTGAGCAATTGTATCAGACAGTGATGTCAATTGTTCTACAAAGTGGAAACATTAAAATCTGTAAATGCTACCGATATTCTTATAATATGAAAAGGGTTTTCTATAAATAAAGCAAGAAGACCTCTCACGTGAAATACATTTTTCTTCTTAATACAGGTTAATGAATAACCAAAACAAAAATCACTGGCAAATACCTAGGGGTTACAGGTGCCTAAAATCAAGGGCATTGCTAGAATCGTGAAAGTATCTTAGGGGGGGTTTTTGGGAGAGAAAAGCTGTGCATGCCATGGGAAACATCTCAATGGGAGGCCACATCTCCCTGACCAGTAGGTGTGGTTTAAAGGGGCATTTTGTAATAGAACGTAAGCCTATTTGCTGTGTATACACTGTAGGGCAGCAACAACTAATCGATTAAATCGATAATAATCGATTGAGAATAGTTGGCAACTATTCTCATTACTGATTAGTTGGGTGATGGTGGTGAGGAGCAGAGCGAGAGTGTGAGTTTTTAATGCAACCAGTGGATTAATTGAAAAAATAATTGAGCAACCAATTGATTATAAAAATAATTGTTAGCCCTAATACACTGCACACTCACGCTGCAGTCCTTGTACCCTCAATGCTCCCAGTGTGCCACACAGAAAAGATCTGCAAGATTTTGGTGCTAGTTTAGGATGGGGGGTTATTCAAAGGATAATGGCACTAAAAGTACGTTTATCCTTTAACCATTTAATGACCGGGGAGGGCGGAAAACCGCACGATCACTTGAATGTAATTGCTGGCTGTTTACATTTTTGACAGTTTCCCCACTCGTGTGCACGCTGAGCGCCGCACACGAGCAGAGAGGCTAAGGGCTAAAGACGCCCACCCGCTTCTATAAGGTTCCCGTCCGGCCGTTTACCTACGGCCAGCAGACGGGAGGTGGTTAAAGTAGTATCAAACTCTTAAACTTTTTTTCACTAATATGAGCTTTCTTTTGCTATATTTGAAAGCACTCTGCCTAAATTCAAATCCTAATTATTAAAAAAAAAAAAATACTTATCTGGCCATCGCTATACTGCTCTTAGAATTGTTACCCTTTACAAGTTGTTTAGCAGTATCCCACACAAATACTTGCAAGTCAAAACACATGTTGACCGATCAATTCTTCTGTTTATCTTTCTGAAATTGTCTGAATGTAGAGAGAGATTGGATTGATGGAGTTTGACTTGTAACAGCTTTGTGTTCTATTGCTGACTAAAATCTGGAGAAGTTTTTAATAAATTTTAGTTCATAGTAGCCGGTTCTGTAGGAGGTTATTCTGCACACTTTTGCTAGTACGTATTAAATGTATTTTTACATATTTCTGTGACACTGTGTGTGTATATAATGATTCAAACAGGCCGTCCAACCTTTTGTGCTGACACTGGCAGCTGTGAGCGGGTGATTCCTGAGGGGCAGTTGTGTGCCAGGGTCTGTTACTATGGCAATACTCAGCTTAGTGGCCTCAGGAGCAGTAAGCCTAGTTCCCGAAAACTCTACATTCTCTCTCCAGTACCCTCTGCAACGCTGCATGAATACAGATAACCCCTCTTAGAGCCTTGCATACTCATAATTCTGTCATTTATCACAAAGCGATTTCTCTATATTGCGCAGACGTATTGTCTTTACATCACAGAAATGTCCACATACTTTGTAAGGTGGTCAAAATAATTTAAGGTATGATGGGAATTAATGCACATACCACTAATTGAATTCTAAAATATACAAATTAAAAAAAAAAATCAATGCCCTATGCAAAGGGATTTTAGTGAGAAGAATAGTAACTAAATGTTACTTGGGAGCAGGCCATTGCTACCGTTGCTGCTGCCAGAGTCTGAGGGGAACAGCACGGCCTCTGCTCTCACTCATCAAACCGGATGAAGGAGTGTATTCAGGGTGGCCACAAATGGTTGGGGGGAGTTCCACATTCACCTTTTAAAATGGGCATGAACTAGTTTTATGGATAATTTGCATCTACAATGCACCATATGAATCTTATGCAAGATATGCCTCCAGTATGCATGCAGTTCACAGTATGAAGCCAGCTGTTTCAATTGATTTTTGTCTTTTAAAAAAACCAAAACATTTTCTTCTTAACCCCTTTCTGTCTCCAGTTCCTATGTTAATGTTTCTCAGCACAATGTCATGTTGGCAAATATCCCATGGCAGAGCAAGTATTTTTTAAAGCTTGTCTAGCCTTTCTTGATTTCTTGTCATTCCTAATGGCTGGTGATGGGCATAGGCATCAACATAGTGATAGTCAATTAATAATGTGTGGGAGGCGATAGCAAACACCAGAAAGGGTCAGAGCTCTAACTTACAGAATGGTGTGGAAACTAAGTGTAACAGCAGGGACAGGGATGCTGCTGCAGGCATTTGCTTCATGATAGAGTTTTAGTTCTGTGTAGTCGCTATTGCCCCCTGTGACATGTGAAATAATCCCCAAGTGTCCTAATATATGTGCACTCCGAATGCCCAGGGAACTTACACTAATGTGGTTTTCAGGCACATTCAGTCTCAGGGT